GACAGAACAGTTAGCATGTTCTGCTCAAACTTTCGCCATGGCATTAGAACAAGTACACCGTTGTCGCTTGCGAAAACACAATAACGGTGCCGTGGGTGGAAACTTACAGATTAAGGGGCGGTGATATTATAATGAGATCCCTTTGTGACGTCACTAGACGTGCTCGTTTTCTCAGACGCTTGCAGAAAAAAGTTTACCAAAACAAAGTTACTGGGTTAATCTTTTTCACGTTTACTTGGTTGGTAGATGCACCAGGGACCTGATTACAGCACTTCAAACCTGGAAAAGTCAGATTTTCATGATATGCCACCTTTAAAATAACTGTTTTCTATGTGAATATCTCTTAAATGTATTTATTTTTTGCTGTGATCGAACAGAGTTTTCAGCGTCATTACTCCAGTCTTCAGTGTCACACTTCAGCTCAAAATCACTTGTTAATTGAAACGAGTCTGTTCTTAAAGTCTGAAATTCCTCTGAGTGTCTTTTGCTGTGTTTTTGCGCTGTGGGTTCAGGTGTGTGAGCAGGGATGTGCGGCGCTCTGTGTTCTCGCTCTACGCAAACCCAACAACTGTAAAGTCATCATGGAGTGTGGCGGAGCGTTGGCGGCCCTGCAGGCCATGAAGACTCATCCGGCTGAAGTTAATGTGCAGGTAAACCCACAGTGTGTGCACTGACTCAAATGCATTAGCAGATGCTTTTATCCAAAGCGACTTAACATTGATTGCATTCAAGGTTAAAAAAACTCACAACCTTGGTGTTGCTAGTGCCACGCTCTACTGTTTCAGCTACAGGAACAGGACTTTATTCTTACATAGTAACAGAAAAGTAAAAAATTTCTGAATTTCCTTTATGCCATCCAAAACTAGGTGAAAATACATCTCATTTTGCTCTTAAGGCCTGACCAAAAACAATAACTATATTGGTCCTTAGTGTGAAACAAGCCTTTAACTAATAATTTTCTTCTAAATCATTTTATTTATTTTTTTAATTTCTTACTTTTTCATTTAAAAGTACTTTTTTTGTGTAAATATGCTGTTTTGATAGATTTGTTTATTTTTGTTTCTTTTTATTTTATTTATTTTGCTTCTTGGTGAATACTTAATGATGGTTATTATAGTTAACAAATTAAATAAAATATAGTTAAATAAATAAAAATAAAAAAATACTAAAAGCATAAAAACATTTGTTGCTTGAAATTAAGTTAACTTTAACATAATAAAATAAATATGAACTTTATTTCAGCTAGTTGCCAAGCTACTGATGAAAGACAATTTCAAAGTCTCTCCATCACAGCAATATTTCTTGTTTTCATTTAGTTTAACTTTATGTACTACAAATCTAAAACTAATAAATAAAAAATAATACAAATATATTTTTTAAGAAAAGGAATAAAAATGACAAAAACACATAAGTACTAAAACTAATAGAAAATCTAAAATAAAACCTAATTCTAGTTTTATAACTATTTGTATTATACTAAAAGAACTCTAGCTCATATATAGTGATTTGAATAAAACTTTTTTATATATTTGCTATAGATTTTGATAGTCAATTTTATATTTTTTTATTACTATTGTTATTATTGTGTTTTTTTATATCTTTATTTTTTGCTTCTTGAGAAACTACGGAAGAGAATTAAGGCCAAGTAATAATAAAAAAATAAAACCATCTCAAGATTAAAGTCATTCAATTTTATTTCGACTTTTTTTCTCGAAATTTAAAGAGTTTTTTCTCAATTTAACAACTTTTTTCTCGTAATTTAATGAGTGTATTCTCAACATGTTATGCCGACTTTTTTCTTAAAATTACCTAGTTTTTTCTCTAAATTTAACGACTTTTTTTCTCGTAATTTAATGAGTGTCTTCTCAATTTTATTCCGACTTTTTTCTCGAAATTTAACGACTATTTTCTCGTAATTTAATGAGTGTATTCTCAATTTTATTCCAACTTTTTTCTCTGTTTAACTACTTTTTTCTCGTAATTTAATGAGTGTATTCTCAATTTTATTCCAACTTTTTTCTCTGTTTAACTACTTTTTTCTCGTAATTTAATGAGTGTATTCTCAATTTTATTCCGACTTTTTTCTCAGTTTAACTACTTTTTTCTCGTAATTTAATGAGTTTATTCTCAACATTTTTTTGACTTTTTTTCTCGAAATTTAACGAGTTTTTCCTCTAAATGTGACGGCTTTTTTCTCGTAATTGAATGAGTTTATTCTCAACATTTTTTGACTTTTTTTCTCGAAATTTAACAAGTTTTTCCTCTAAATGTAACGACTTTTTTCTCGTAATTTAACGCGTTTATACGCAACATTTTATTTGGACTTTTTCTCAATTTAACGAGTTTCTCAACATTTTTACAAGCCCTTTTGGCCAAATTTAACGACTATTTTCTCGTAATTTAATGAGTGTATTCTCAATTTTATTCCAACTTTTTTCTCTGTTTAACTACTTTTTTCTCGTAATTTAATGAGTTTATTCTCAACATTTTTTTGACTTTTTTTCTCGAAATTTAACGAGTTTTTCCTCTAAATGTGACGGCTTTTTTCTCGTAATTGAATGAGTTTATTCTCAACATTTTTTGACTTTTTTTCTCGAAATTTAACAAGTTTTTCCTCTAAATGTAACGACTTTTTTCTCGTAATTTAACGCGTTTATACGCAACATTTTATTTGGACTTTTTCTCAATTTAACGAGTTTCTCAACATTTTTACAAGCCCTTTTGGCCTTTTTTTGTTTTCTTTGTACTTCTGTTCCCTTTGTTTTCTGAAAAAAAATAAAAATTAAAACAAGCTTCTAAACAAGTATTCCTGTCTTCCCTGTTGTTTCTGGAAACCAAACCAGCCGCTACTTGTATTGTTTAATGAAATTCTTTTAGTGACTACACTCTCCTGTTTCCCGCTGTTCCAGAAACAGTCCTGCATGCTGTTGAGGAACCTGGTGGCCCACACACGAGACTTCAGCCAGCTCATCCTGGAGATGGGAGCCGAGGCGCTGATCTCGCAGGCTCTGGCGGCTCACCGGGACTGCGGCGACGTGGGCCGAGCCGCTCTCAGAGACCTCGGCTGCCAGGTCGAACTACGAGAATTCTGGACGGGCAAGAAAGGAAGCCTGAGTCAATGATGAACGTCTGTAGACTCAAAACGATCACGATTACATCATATGACAGCGTGTAATAACTGTGGAGCTCTCACTAAATGTCTGTGATCAAACATCTGATGTCCACATGCATAGGATGCTTTACAGGTTACAGTGTAGATGTGTTGATTTTTTTTTTGTTTAAATATTTTAAAGCCACTGTTTATAGTTTGTACGAGGTTTTCTACCCAGGAATGACCGCTGTGCTTGGTCTGGATTCATTTGAGCTGACGTTGACCGCGAGAATCAAGTGTGTTTAATTCAGAGGTGCATTGCTGGATTGTCAGACTGTGGCTGTTTAACCCTTAATATGTTTAATCTAAAGACCATCATCTCGCCGGTTAAATGTGCTTTCAGTGTGCTTGTTTCTTACATTCCAAAGTGTTTTATTACACCGAACACGCTTTCATGCACAAGGTGAGCCAGAATATGAGTCACATGTTTTCTCAATCATATGTTGCAATATTAGTTGAAGCTCTGAATAAACCCGCTCTGTACTGGAACTGATAGTGTTTGTGATTAAATCGCACTGATGTGTCTATATTGTTACATATTCCTTTACAAAAATGCACCAAAAATGGTAAAGTTATACTAAAATACCATCATTATTAGTTATAGTTGCACTTGCAACTGTAAAATCATAATAAATGGATATATGTGACCCTGGAGCACAAAACCAGTCATAAGGGTCAATTTTTCAAAATTGAGATTTATGCATCATCTGAAAGCTGAATAAATAAGCTTTCCATTGATGTATGGTTTGTTAGGATAGGACAATATTTGGCCGAGATACAACTATTTGATTTTCCCATACCATTAGATATTTTGATTTATGCACATTTAAGTATTTTGGTAGAAATTATCATTGCTTTAATAACTTTTTATAAGTTTTGCAAAGGTAATGTGGTACAGTAGTGGTATTAGATATTAATACACAGAAATATGCCATGGTACTGATTATTAAAACTAAAACCATAAATTATTTTTGTTAACTTTAAATAAAATAGACATTAACTGAACTAAAGTAAAATATATTTAAAAAACTTATTTTATATTGATTAAAGTTTTTAGTTTAGTTTAAAATGTTATAGTTTATTATTTTATGTATTTT